ACTATGCCGTGGATCACATTGACCACTCCTTGAGGAGGCGCCTCTAAGTCATCCGAATCACTCGGATCAGCCGGGGTGGGATGCGCGGTTCTAACACCCCCATCAATGTAAAGGTCTAAGTGACCCGCTGCGACTAACTCCTCCAAGTGTTGCTTCAAAGGCAAACAGTCCTTTGTCCAGTGTCCACGCTCCCTATGATATGTGCAGTGGTACCGCGGATTGAAGCCCTTTTGCGCATCGCCTAACTTAGCAGGAAACCGGACGTAATCTTCGTCGCGGATTTCACCAAATATGCGATAGATTGGAATCTTAAATACTATGGTGATGCCCGTCCGAGCGTTCAACCTTCTGTTAGCATCAGCTGCGTCATCGCGGGGATATTCTGCTCAGTCATTGCAGCGACCTCTACCCCGGTTTCTATGATTCGGTCCACGATCAGATTCCTTAGCGCGATCATTTGGACGGTTAGTCTCCTATCCTACTACGTGTACCTTGCCAGCCGCCCTTTTGTCTGTTGCCACCGGATTTGTTTTCATGGTGGATGCGGCTGCATCATCCTCTACTCGGAGGTGCTCATTGATGCGTTGCATTAGTTGCTCCATGGACGTCGGCGGGTTCATTATAAGCGAGTCTCTCAGCCTATGCCCGACCGAGAGACCGCGCTTATATTGGGTGATTGCCAGGTTGATCGGGCAATCTAGGATCTCATTGAAGGTTTCCCAGTACCTAGAGTTGTATGCCTTGAAGGTGTCACTCGACTCCATCTTGACACTTAGAAGGTGGTCCACTTCCTTTGGCGTTTTGGTGTTGGTTTTGAAACGAGTCACAAATTCTTCCGCCAACTGCTGTCACCTCTCGATGCTCTCTTCTGAAAGTCTCTCAAACCATTTCAAGCCCAGTTCACCCAAACTGGATGGGAAAATAAGGCACATAAGAGCATCATTACGTTTGTGTCCAGCCATGACTTGTCGGAAGTGGCTTACATGCATGTACGGATTGCTTTTTCCATCATAAAGTGTAAACTTGGGTTGGTGAAAGCCCGCGGGGAGCGGCGTGGTCTCTATTTCAAGGGAGAAGGGAGAGGCATTCAGCCTCACCAAGCCGGTGTCCAAAGGAACTGGTATGGCCAAACGGAGCAGCGGCATCATAACCTCCTCACTAAGGTGACCTCCGTAAGATAACCGCCGGAGCGCCGACACCCTTTTAGCCTCCCGTTGGCGAGCTCGTTCCTTTAAGACGTCCCTCAAGTCCTCTGAACGGATGGAGTAAGAATATCTTGACGTGGTCGACGGACGCGAGGATGGTAGGTACTATCTTGAGCGCTAGACTTCTCTGCAGGCGTGTCTAGGTCCCCAACTCTATAACTTCTAGTGATAGAGAGGGAGGGAGTCTACCGCTGGCTCTGGCTACCTGAGCGGCAGGGTTAGGTGCGCTCACTATGGTCTCCTACTCCAGCAACACCCTTCCCTTTGACTTGTCGTTTGAGAGCTTCCATCTCTGCCGCCATTCTCTGGATGACGGTGTCTTGGTCCCTTAACTTGTGCTCCAGACGTCGAGCATGCGATTCTCTTCGTTGCCGGTGTCCTTCTGAGCTCCGTGAGCGACCAAAACTTCTGGCGCGCTTATCTCGTGCATCTTTCAGAAGTCCTCTTGGGGAAGTCTCCAGGTCCGCCATGTTCGGAACGGCCGGGAGTCCGTCTCTCCGTCTGGCTGACTCCGGGGTAACACTGTCAATGGCAGACAACGGTATTTCGTCGTTGTTCGCCATGGAAGGCGATCAGATGAGCTTGGAAGACAAGGCTGTGTCTGCAAAAGTTCCCACAGACTGCGCCAATTGTACGGGAAACACATTCGATAATGCCCATACTCCTTTCGTCTAAGCTCCGCTTTTATCCGTTTAACCTGCGAACACAACAGCGGTGAGCTACCCGGCGGTGTTGCCGGAAAACTCCTCCGACGGTCAAGTTAGTATATACTCAGGGAGAAAGAGAAGAGTTCAATGACTATTAGATTTTTTCTTACCAAATGATGTTCCATCCTCAGCATGGGGGGTGCAGTCATGTTTATATACTTTCTGCGTTCACCTCTGCACCCACTCGTTTATTGACACGTGGAGTTACTCTCCCATCTATCAGCGCAAATCCAGCTAAACACTATCTAATCAAACCGCCAAACAACATTAGCGGGAATGGGGCAGCCCGGCGACATCACCTCGGCCTCCTATGATCGTGTTACGTAACGAGTCCGACAGCACCACTCGCTAAGCTCCATCACAACCGAGCTCAGTAGCATTCCGGTACGACTGAGCTCCAGACATACTAAGCCGGTATTCAAAAGACCCTTCCCGCCGAGCTAAATGTGTGAACCACGTAACCCGGGTTGGCCGACAATCACCTCGGCCAAGTTAGCTCGGCCCAAACTTGGAAGTTGGGACTCAACCGAGCAAACCTAACCTGGACAGGCCCAAGTTAGCTCGGCCTAAACACGGGACCTGGGTCTCGACCGAGCAAACCAACTTTGGAGAAGCCTACGTTAGCTTAGCCTAAACACGCTTGGACCTCTCTCTGCCCGGCTTCTACCACGGCCCAAAGCGAGATTTATAAATCTCCCTCACACTGATCCAGTACTATGGCCTTGTTTGGTAGGGCTTATTTCCAACTTATTTCAGCTTTTAGCTTAATTTAAGTTATTTTGATGTGTTTAGTTCAGTTTAACAATACAACTTATAGCTTTTTGTAAGTCAAAAATCAATTTATTCTTAAAGTAGGGGAGGAAAAACTTAATTTATAAGTCAAAAATCAACTTATATTCACAGTTATAAGTTATAAGCTGTTAGATTATAAGTTATAATCACTTTTCCACAGTTATACCAGACGAGGCCTATATAAACAAACACTTTTTATCTTATATTTCTAATTCAATACTTATCAAACTAATAATCTACCCATTTCATTCTACCGTAGTCCATGAAAACAGTGTTTTTGAACGAAACCAAAACTGGGACGCCAGTATGCAAAAAATATACTCAATATTTATTATAAAAATTGACATCTTGGATGTATGTGTTTTTTTTTTTTTTATACATGTGGTCCTTTTTTTTTTTTTTTTTTTTTTTGCAACAGTTAGTCAACATCTGTTTTTACTTTTGTCAAATTATATTATGTTTGCAAATTTTGGGATTTTACCCTTTTTAAAAAAAAAATTATTATTATTTAAATTTGTAAATTTTGGGATTTTACCCTTTTTTTTAAAAAGTTATTATTATTTAAATTTTCTCACAAGTCATAAATTCTTTTTGGCAAATTGTAACTGATATGTTTGATAATGTGTAAATATCATTTTTCTTCTATATTAGAGAGAAAACTGTATGCGTTTATATGAGAAATGTTTATAAAGAAAAGCATATAGGAGATGTCTTTTCTCTAATTGATAATTCAATTGAAGAGGTGTTGTATTAATCTACTTTAAGATTGCTATGGTAATTCTCGTTTATTTTGTAAGATTTGTTTGATAATTTAAAGGTCAATAACCACATTATGGGGTTACATTTGTCTTTAAATAATAAATATGATTTTGAGAATAGATCATTCAATTTTTTAACAGATTCATGTTCAATTAATCTAATTTTTTACATAAATACTTTCTTTAACAAATTTTACAAATTAAACCATTCAAATCGTTCAAAATGAATATTCAAAATTGAGCACACGAAGGACTATGGCACCAACCCGAGAGGAGCTCAACCTATAAAAGTGTACTTTGACCGAAATCGTTTCACGATTCTGGAGGGAAGTCGCTGCAGTTGGGTTGCTTTGAAATTATATTAAACTACGAACTTAAATCTGTGAGATGCATATTGTTTGATTGGAAATAATGCTAAAATCTATTCCTTGATCACTGTATATATATAAAATATATTTTACACGGTACACAATCTAACGTTATTTTATAGCTAGCTAGAAAGGGACCACCCTCAACAATAATATTGGATGATGGAGGTTGTGACATGAATCATTAATGTTTTCTTACATGGAAAGGATGGCCATGTATTTCTTCTATTTATGTTTATAGTAATGACCCTACCCTTCTCAACTCCATTTTATTAAGTCTGTGTTTGGCAAGTGGGTTTGCAGGTTTTTTTGGCTATTTTAGCCACAAAAAATAAAATAGGCTATTTTAGCCATAACAAACAAAACATCACATCCAACTCATAATCATTACATTCTTCTCTAACAAAAAAACTCAAAAAAGCTAAAAAGCTAAAAAATCCTTCCCAAACCAAGCTTTTAAGCCCAGGCTAAAATAGTCAAAAAAGCCAAAAAGCCAAAAAGCTAACCCACTTCCCAAACGGAGGCTAAGCTTCAAAAAGTGGACTGATGGGGAGTGGTAAGAGAGTTCTAAAAAAACAATCACCTTGTTTGGTTTTAATTTTTTAAAAATTAAATTTTTGTATTTTTTTGTTTTTAATCAATATTTTTAAAATTTTAAATTATTATTTTTTTATTTTTTTAAATTACCTTACTTAGATGTATCTAAAAAGTGAAATATTTTAAAAAATCAATAAATAAATAAGAATACGAAAAATGTACTAAATTTTTTTTATATATATTTTTGGTATTTAGTGAATTTTTTAAAGATTTCTTTTACAAATATTATATTTTGCAAGTGTATTTATGTTAGGTGTATCTAAAAATTTTAAAAATTGCTTAAAATATTAAAAAAAAAATGTAACAAAAACAATAAAATATGGAAAATAAAAAAATTTAATGTTCTGAAAAATAAATCCTGAATTATGAAACCAAACAAGCTATAACTTAGTTGGTCAGTCTAGATGCAAGACATTCCCCCCCAAAATAAATAAATAAACATGACTCCACTTGCTACTAACATTCCAAGCTCCTGCAACATTTTTGGGTGGTGATACTTTTAACCATTAGTTATGCATAAACCTACAGTGACTAAGTTTGGAATGAAATGCAATACATCAGTAACATATTAAATGATATTCAAAATTTGATCGCCATATATAATGGAAGAGTCACAGAGAGTGTTGGTGGGATATACAATAGTTGAGCCATTTTGAAGCCAGTGGCTAGGGTTTAAGGTCACTCAGGGCAAGGGGGTCCCAAATACAATACAACATGTTCTGTGCCACGCTGACACTACTGGTGCTGCTGCTGCTGCTGCTGCTGAGCCCTGCATATGCATTTCATGGGACCACAATACATACATACATACATACACACACACACACACACATATATATATATATATATAATAGTGAATCTTTACCTTTTCGTGGTTGCGGATGAACCCTGATCTGGAAAGCCCACCAGGTAATATTTGATGCTGCCATGACTTTGTCCAATCATTTATTACAACGTGACAGAGGTCAAAAATGGGCGGGCTTGCTGTTGGTCAAAAAGGATTACGTATTAAAACAATCTAATTTAAACTCGTCCATTTAACAAACAGCTTTACTCGTCCATTTAACGAACAACTTTAAACGGATTGGATTAAACTAGGTAAGTGTAAAACAAATCAAGAGAAGCAGTTAAAGAAACTATGGCCCCAAAAATTGTGTTTAGATTATGGATAATCCCTATCCAAATTCATAATTCTCACTTTCTTTCAAAATTACTACCCAAATCTATGATCCAAACAGTCACAAGACAAGACAAGTGACCAACAAACAATATACATCCTCATATCCTGTCCACAGCATCAATTTCCACAAAAACTAAAGTTCCATGTAATCGTGTAACATTAATTGCAGTGTTCAAATACCATATTTCAAATTAACTGGAGTCATGAGTCGCAGCGCTATTGCAAAATGAACAAGGATCGTTTACAACAATACCCAATACAACATCTATAGAACAACGAGGTTCTGGATATGAGAATGCTTGATGATATAACTTGTAAATACTACAACAGAATGCCAAGATCATTTAGTCCAGAAGTCCGGCTTGTCTGTAGCTTTCAATGGAATCAATCAGACTTTCTTCTATCGGTCTGTAACTCCAACCCAGCTTCTGCAAAAAAATGGGCGGGCTTGCTGTTGGTCAAAACAGATTACGTATTAAAATAATCTAATTTAAACTCGTCCATTTAACAAACAGCTTTACTCGTCCATTTAACGAACAGTTTTAAACGGATTGGATTAAACTAGGTAAGTGTAAAACAAATCAAGAGAAGCAATTAAAGAAACTATGGCCCCAAAAATTGTGTTTAGATTATGGATAATGCCTGTCCAAATTCATAATTCTCACTCTTCTTTCAAAATTACTATCTAAATCTACGATCCAAATACAGTCACGAGACAAAACAAGACAAGTGACCAACAAACAACATACATCGTCATATCCTATCCACACTATCAATTTCCACAAAAACCCAAATTCCATGTAATTGTAACATTATTGCAGTGTTCAAATACAATATTTCAAATTACCTGAGAGTCCTGAGTCACAATATGCTATTGCGAAGTGAACAACAATCGTTTACAACAATACCCAATATAACATCTATAGAACAAAGAGGTTCTGGATATGAGAATGCTTGATGATATAACTTGTAAATACTACAACAGAATGCCAAGATCATTTAGTCCAGAAGTCCGGCTTGTCTGTAGCTTTCAATGGAATCAATCAGACTTTCTTCTATCGGTCTGTAACTCCAACCCAGCTTCTGCAATTTCTCTGAACTGAGCTTTTCTTCTTCCTTTCCCTCAGTAAATCTGGCAATGTGTAATTGAATGAAACAGCAAATTTTAACCCAACGAAGGTAACCCATACTAATAATTCAGCTACATTTATTGGTGATAGACCATAACAATAATTCAACTGCTAATACCTAATCTATTATATAATATAAAATTAAAAAAATGAAAAAGAAATTTGAACAGCAGTAAAATCCTTTTAGATGAATATATTATGGAGAGACAGAAACTTACTTCTTAGGATAGTTGTAGTTCGGGTAGTTTTTCCTGAGTATTTCCACCAGATCTTGTGACTTGATCATGTAAGCTGTGCATATATACCTTCCTTCAGCTTCAGGCTTCTCATATGCCAATAGCAGTGCTTCAGCTACATCTCGTACATCTACTATCATCCTCAACTTGTTTTCGAATTCATCATATCCCTCTGTAAATAACAGGATTGCGAGAAGTCAGGACCTCAAGTGCTACACTTTTCACTGACAAACCATTTTCAAGAAGAAAAAACTATATACCAGATTGCTAGTAATAAGCAGCGTATTGATGAAGTCATGGCACAACTTATGAAAAATTATGCACTGCTTGAGTGCCTTTCAAGTGCGCTCTGAGCAAGCCTCTGTGGGCTCCCATTATGCAGAAATCCCAGCACCCTGCTCAAGCACACTTTCAAGTGGCATCAAGAGCAGCTCTATGGACTTCTGTGCAGTTGAAATGTCAGCACATATCTTTAAACCTAGGGCTCTAGACTTATGCAGAGCTCCCAGGGGGCACCTCGCTCGAGCGCTCTTTGATCGGTGCCCTTGGGACTTGCCAATTAATCTTGTTTTGAACAGTTTCCGATGATAAAGACCACAAGACTAAGCATAAGTTATTCTAGTCAAACTATGACATGAAAAGCATGTGCCCTAGACTAATACAAGATATCATATGTAAATAGGATCGAAGCACAATCTGCATTATCTCTAAAGATCTTTAATCTTGATGAGTTGGAGACACTAACCTATTCTCACTAACACACATTTTGTCTATGGAAATTAGCAAGGCATTAAATCACTTTACAAAATACTTGGGAATAAAGGGAGACATGATCTCTATCTGCTGGCAATTCATTTGCAGGATGTCATCTTGAATACTGTCATGGAATCTGTGGAAATCCAAATCATCTATAAAAATTTCTACAAAATGTTAGTTACCTCAATTTATTCGGCTGTGGAGCTCACTAGGTTGGAAAGCTAAGTATTTGCACGTGCCTTCTCTTCCCATTTTATTTTTTTATTGCATCTTTCTTTTACTTTTTTCCCGTGTGTGTGTATTTTCAGGGGTGGGGGGATTGGTTCCACAAGATTGATATCCAGCTTCAAGTGTTCCATTTAAGTGCAAGCAAAGTTGACATGCTGTTTCAACATCAGCCCACATCCAACGCTTTATTGAAATACATTTTTGCTTTTTCGAAGAAAGCAAAAATGCAGCATTTGTTTGCACAACATTTATTTGTGCATCCGTACACATCAAATTATACACATGAATGAGTATGATTATATGTACGTATACATGTACATTTATTATTTATTGTAAAAATTTATGTATTATGATTGATATCTGATTGTTGTGTTATTGATATTACAAGGATTCCTATTATATAGAAGAGGATTTGGGTAGTAGGTGAGGAGTAGGTGAGGGTAAATTGGTGGTAGGTGTAGTAGGTGTGGTAGTAGGTGGTGGTAGGTGTAGGTAAATTTTAACATTTATACATGCTTTTATGACCACTTATATGCCTATAAGTTCTTACATAAGTATTATACATACCTTTATGCCTATATACAAATTTATACATTTATATATGCATATTTTTCTACATAGAGATGCATCGTAAGTACTTCTATGCATACTTATATGCTACACATGTTTTACTATATTGATTTTTAAATATATCCATACCTAATTGTACATTATATGAACACATGCTGGTTATCAAAAGTAATTTCATTTGCATATTTATGAAGATCATGGAAAGAAGAAAAATAGCAAATCTGAAATTTTACATGAAACATATTTAGGATATCAAGAATTAAAGATTTGGAATAATTTCAAGTCTTCATATCATTATAGTAGGTTTTAGTAATTAAGGGTATAATGGTAATTCCAACAATTGTCGGACATAGGTTGTAGGGGTCGCCCATGGGTTTTATTTTGGGTCAAATTATTAAATGGGTCATTATATATGGGTTTTATTATATCTAAAATAATTTTAGTGGTCAAAAGTTCAAATTTTCTATTTTGATATTGAAGTAGAATTAGAAGTCATTAAAGTTTCCTATTATGATTGAAGTAGAATTGGAAGTCATAGTTGGTCTAGATCTAGAATATTAGTAATTGTTAAATATTTTTAGTTTCTAAATTTGATTTATAGTCCTTATAGAATTAGGAGAGTCTTTAGCCTATAAATATATGTGTAATCTCAATGATTGAGGAAAAAGAGTTAATATTATGAAAATTTGAGATTGCGTTTGTGTGATTGGCGTATCCGTTGTGAGGGTGAAGCACCCCTCTCTCTCTCTCTCTTCTTCTTTTTCTATCCAGTAAGATTACTGTTCACATCACTGTTTACAGTGCTTAGAACAACCACCCAACATCCTCTAAACATTTGTGTTTTCATTCCCAAAACCCTCCCTTTTTACAAACCCTTAAACTACTATATTTTTAAATACTTTTGCAGCCACAAACTCCCACCAAATCTAACCTTATAAGTCTATTATTGTTGCTGCCAGTATAGTTAACCCGGGCTCACTACTTGTAGAAAAGTAATCCATACTCGTCCTACATTAGTTTGGTATCAAAGTTTCAAGATCCTATCTTGTTCGTTACCAATCTTTTGACGAAATTTCTTTCTTTATTAAAATGTTGACAAGCATTGAATTAAATTTGAAATTTGAAATTTGAAGCCTCGTCAAGAAATTATAGAGCTACTAAGAAAGATGTTGTGATGTTAAAGGAGGATTTTGGGATAATTAATGAGGATGTTGCAACAATAAAAAGTGATGTGCATACTATCCAGACAACTTTGAATGGATTAAAAGCTTTCATGAAAATATTAGTGGTTGCTGTTTTGGAGAAGATTAATATTTAAGAGCAAAAAGATGATAGTGTTGAAGATTTTGAAGAAACTATAAAAGAGCAAGATGAACATGTCGCTAATATTGAAGATCTTGAAGAAATGAAGGCAAAAATTAATTTATTACTAAAGGAAGCATGAAAGATCATCTTGATCAAGAATCTACAGCCAAGGAAGCCAAAGAAAATAATGAGAATGCCACTGAACTTTCTGGTCTTCACAAGATAAATGAAGTTCACACTGAGTATGTTATTCCTAATAAATTTGATGGGGTCAATGGAGTGATGACAACATTGAACTTTTTGATTTTCTCATCGTTCATTCAAAACAATCAATTTAAATGGTTACAAGTGCAAAATTCCATAATCCTCATACTTCAACATTATAAAACTCGAGGTCGAGTTTTTTCGAATGCAAGGGGGAATGATGAAAATCATGGAGACAAAAAAAGAAGAGCAAATTTGGAATTTCACATGAAGCACATTTAGCGCATCGAAAATTAAAGATTTGAAATAATTTCAAATCTTCATGTCATTATAATAGGTTTTAGTAATTAAGGGTATAATAGTAATTCTAATAATTGTTGGACATAGGTTGTTAGGGTCGCCCATGGATTTTATTTTGGATCAAGTTATTTAATGGGTTATTATATATGGATTTTATTTAGGGGTGGGCGCAAGTCGGTTGCGGCCATAGAACTTCTAATTCGCCATCTGTTTGCCAGATTGGCCGATTGGAAAAAATCAATCTGCATCCGTCCGCTAATCCGGTGGATGTGGATTGAGC